AGAATAATAATATATACTTTACAAATTTATTAATCAATTTTTAAATTTTAAAATATAAAAAGGAAATATATTATTTTTAAGTTAACAAATAATAAAATAATATTTAAATTAATTTTTTCAATTTTTTTATAAATTTAAAGGCATTTAAATAGGCTTTACAATAATTTCTAATTTTAAAATAGTTTTTTAATCTTATCCTAACCTAAATTTTTATTTTAGAGTTGAATAATCTTACTAATTGACGATATAAGAAATCAAGTTATCATCACTTTAAAATTATACTTCCAGCTTATTAACTTAGTAAATTTATTCATCTATTATACTTTTGATTTTTTTTGATTTTAAATCTTCTTGTAATAATTCGAATAATTCACAAACTTTCATATTTTAATTAACTAATAAGGCAAAAGGATAACCAATAAATTATTTTTTAGTTTTATTGTTTGTTATTTTTTAAATACAACGAAAACTACAAACAATTATTATATCTTAGCTTTTATTAATTTTTTTACCAAAATAAAAAATGTAACTATTTTAAATGCTTTTTTCTACTATTTTTATTTAATTATTTATTGAAGGTACAAAATTAACTAGTTCATTTTTATTTTAGTTTTAAATAAAAACTATTTGAATTTAATCGGTTATGTTTTCTTGTTAATTTAAGTTTCTATTATTTTTATTTAAAATATTTTTTTTAAAAAATAACTATTTTTTACAATAATTAAGGATTTTAGTAGAAATTTTAATAAATATTTTATATTAAAAGAGATCTTTTAATAGAAATAGTAATTTATTATGGCTCATTTATTACTAATCCGTATTTTAGTTAATTCATGAAGCTAAATGTTATTTAAGCGTTCTCTACTCTATCTTTTGCTGTTTATTAATTGTTATAATTAAATAAAATAGTTTCATTTTCTCCAGGTTCCTTATTTTATTTTATTAATTCTAATATATTTAACTCATCACTATAATTTAAATCTTTCCATTCCTTTTTTTATTATTTTTATTTTGATAAATTAAATATTTATAAACCTTATTTTCAAAAATTTAAAAATAAATGCATTCTTATTTAATATTATTATCACATTTGTACACAGTCTTTTTTTTATAATAAATAAAAAAAATAAAAAAAAATTACTTAATATATTATTTTCTGAAGATCTGTATACTTTTAATTTATATTAATATTTTATTTGAAGTTCAATTGATTTTCATTTTAAGCCTTTTAAATATTAAAAAAAAAAAAAAACTAATTAAAATATATAAATGAATTTACGGATTAAAAGTTCAATTATATAAAATCGCTCCATTATTTATATTTATCTATTATTTTCTTTTATTTTAATTTTAAAAAAATATTTATTGTTAATTTATACATTATTTTCTTATTAAAACTCTTTTATATTTTAAATGATTAAAACTCCATATTGACTGTTTTAAAAAATAATTCTAATTTCCTCTTAAAATTGATTATCTTTAATTAAAATAGGATTATAACTAATTTCAATATAATATTAGATATTTTTTTAATTTATTTAATAATTATATTAGACTTTTAACAAAAACTAATTAAATACACAATTACTATTTTCATAGAAATAGTCCAAAGTATTTAATTATTATGTTTAATTATTATAAAATTTAATAAATATGAGCATAAGCTAATTTTTCTTTAACAGCGATTTAGTTTAAATAAATTCTTACTATTCAAAATCATTACAATTTTCAATATCCATAAAATTACTTTGGGCAATTTAGTTATTTATATTAAAATTTATATGCTTTTTATTATTATAATTTAATATTAAAAATACAATTAACGCATTTTCTTTAAATAAACCTTAAAAATACTTATCAAATTAAATTTAATCACAAAAGTTCAGTAACAATATTTCTAAATTGCATATTCTTTCAATTTTTTTATCTAAATTATAAATAATTTTCCAAACTGTAAAATTTTCTAAATCTAAATTAATGTATTAGGACAATTATTATTTAAATTCTAAAATAGTTTTGCATTTTTCAATTTCAATTTAATTTTCAAACTAATCTATTATCGAAGGTAGGTAATTCAAAAAATATTTATGAAAATATATCGCATTTCCTAAATAATTATAATTAATAAATTTATTTCTTATATTTTAAATTTAAATTATTTATATATAATATATAAAAATACCTTAAGTTTATTTTATTTGTTCAAAATTAATTATAGTTACCTTCTAATATTTTTTTTATCGTTTAATAAATTATTCTCTTTCTATTAGTTTCTATTTATATTCAACTATCCATTTTGGTATATCTTAAATGGTTAAATCATCTAATATTTTATCTTTTTCTTATAAATTTACATAGACTAACATATAAGCTGTTTCTTTCCTTATAACAGTCTCTTTTTGATAATTCAGTATATCCTTTTTATATTTAATTAAAAAACAATATATTTATATTATTAACAGTATTCCATTTATAATAGAAATCTATTCCACCTTTTCCACCTTATAGTACTTAATATTCGCTTATCTTTTCAACAATAGAATCGTTAAATTTATACCATTACCCTTTTTTTTAAATATAAGCATAATAATGTCCTGAACCACTCTATTACCCACTATGAATTAAAACAGCAAATAGTTCGTACATATATTTCTAAAATAATATTATATTTTTAATTTATAATTCTTTTAAATAAGATATTATTTACATTGTCATCTTAATTTTTAATAAACTAAGTATTCATATAAGGTTTCATGTCTAATTTAAAAGGATATTCATAAGGATCAAGTACTTTTTTTAGATTTCTCTATTTTGAAAAGAAATAAAGATAATAAATAAAATTATGCAAGATAAATTATATTATTTGCGTATTTTTACTAAATCTTTATCATATTCAAATCTTTTTAAAGTAATTTAAAGAATAGGCGGTAATATATAAAATTTTAAACCTTTCTTAGCCTGTTATTTTCTATATTTTTCATCTCCTGTATCATACTTAAAAAAAAAAATTATATTATTTTTGATTTTTTTTCATATCATTTAAATTAAAAAGTTAAATTATTTTTTTAATTATTTTTAACATTTTTATTTTACAATATTATCTCCAATTAATATTTCTTCTTATGTATATTAAAATAATGAATCTTCAATTTTTTTCATTCCTATATTATTTTTAATTTTAATTTTTTTTTAATATTTTTTACCTTTTACTTATAGTTAAATGTCAAAAAAAACTTCAGTTCTTTCGGTTTTAAAGTCAACTTTCATGCATTTTATATAATTATTAACTTATCCTTGAAACATCCTTTATATTGAACCTTTCAACTCCGGAGAACTGTCTATTTATTATTCAAGTGTTTCTATTAAATGGACTAAAAAAAATTAAATGAATTCATTAAATTATAATAATTACATCCAAATTCTTATACATCATGCTAAACTTAAGCATCAGCTTATTACCATCCAAAGCTTTTAAGTAAATTAATGGTTTATTACTTTTTTATCAAATAAATATATTATAACAATATTTAAATATATTTATACTGGAACATTTCCGGTTAATAAATCATAAAATAATATTTAAAGTGCATCAGGAAAACAGTCATATTTTTAAATTGTAGGTATCTTTAAAACTAATCTTGCAAAAGAAGATAAATGAAAAAGTGTTTGTAAATAACTATTCATATAACATGTGTTTCCTTAGTTTAAAAGTCCTACATATCCTGTACTTTCTTTAGAATCATAACTTTTATTAAATTATTTATTTTTTGAATATTTTTTTACTTATTAGTCTTAGTAGGTCTAATATATCCATTTATAATTAGGTTTTAATTTTAAAGTTAATCAATTTAAAATTTATTTTGAATATCTTTTTTTTTAATTTTCTAGTCTTTGTCAAATGTTAGTCTTTATTTTTTTAAAAAAAAATATATTGAATAAAATTATACTTTTCATAAATGTTAGCAATTTCTCTGCTGTTTAAATAAGCATATAAATCAACCTCAAGTTAAATAGGCTTTTTTATAGATAATGCATAATTATAAATTGCAAATAAAAATAAAATATATTATTTTTACATTGTGAACTTATTGAATATTTTCTATTTAGATTGATAGCATTAATTTTTATGTATAAGCGTTATAGCTAATAAATAAATTATATTATTTCAAATTTTAAGTTTTAAAAGTTTCCTTTTCTGTATCGATATCGTTTAAATCATTAGTTTTATCTGAATCCTGACTTTTGTTCTATTCATATAATTAATTTTTTTAAAAATATTTTAATAGATTAGAGCCATTTATTATCCATAAAACAAATGTTTTTTCATTATCAATTTAATTTATTTTATATAACTCTGTTATTTATTATAAATCATCTTCTTCAGATAAAGCTATTTAAATTATTTTATTATTTTCTTCTTCTTATTTATATTTATTTTAATAATTAGAAATATTTTCAGATTAAATAAATTATAATATTTATTCTTCTTATGATTTAATTTTACAGTCTCTTGAATCAATTTCTTAAATTTTTAATCTTTTTAATGATTGCTATGAGTCATTTTCTTATTAAAGCTTCATTTTATTTAAATATGTAGACATTTCTATTAAATTTTATTCAAAATATATATATATTTGTTATTTTTTTTTAATAAAAATAGAAAAAAATAAATTCATATTTATTAATTTAATTATCATGTGTATTTAATATAAGTATCTTTTTTTTTATGTTTATTTTTATTAATTTTTTAAAAACAAGAAAAAAATGCATTTCCGCGAAAAAATTAATTTGTCTTTTTGTTAAATTATTAGATCATTTATAATTTTTAATTATTAAATTTATATATTTTATATTTTGATTATTAAAAATAAAAATAATATGTTCAATTATCTAAGTTGTTTACAAATATTTAGAATTATTATTATTTCTTTTTATTAAATTAAAAATATAAATAATTTCAATAAATATGTATTTATTTTTATTTTTTATAAATATAAAAATTTGTATAAAACTAAAATAATTTTCATAAATATAAAAAATAATAAATGAAATTTATAATTAGATAATAAAATATTTTTAAAAAACTAAATCAAAGTTAATAATAAACTGATTTTACTTGCGTATATTCAAGTAAACCTTCTTCTCCTCCATCTCTTCCAAATCCTGATTATTTATATCCTCCAAAAGGCATATATCTTTGTGAAATTGCATAGCTATTAATATAAACATTTCCAGCATCAATTTCTTTAGCAAGTAATTCACATTCAGTTAAATTGGAACTCATTATTCCACAAGCTAATCCATAACTACTATTATTAGCCCTTTCAATTACTTCTTCAATAGTTTTCCAAGGTTTTAAAACAGCAAGTACGGGTCCAAAAATTTCTTCTTAAGCAATTCTAGCATTATCATCAACATTAGCAAAAATAGTAGGTTTAATAAAGTATCCTTTTTATCCCCACCTTTCTCCACCTAAGATAACTCTGACATCTTTAAGATTTTTAGTTTCTTCAATAAATTGAAGAATTCTTTAGAATTATATTTTATTAACTTAAGGGCCATGGTTAGCACCGTCAAAAGCATCCCCAATAATTACACTTTCGTTCATTTTAATAAGTCTTTTCAAACATTCGTCATAAATGCTTTCATGAATAAGCAAACGGCTTCCAGCATCACATGATTGTCCCATATTTTATGTGAATGCGAACCAAATAGCTACTATCGTTTTGTCCAAATCAGCTGAAGGACATACTATAACAGGTGATTTTCCACCTAATTCAAGAGCTACTTTTTTCAAATTGGTTTCTGAACTTGCCTAAAGTATTTTTCTTCCAACTGCTGTTGAACCAGTGAAAGAAATTTTTCCTACTTTTTAACTTCTAGCGAGTGCCTCTCCTGCAATATTTCCATACCCGGGCACAATGTTAAATACTCCAGGTGGAAATCCAGCTTCTTTAATAAGTTCAGCAAATCTTAAAATTGTCAAAGGAGTTTCTTCTGAAGGTTTATGTACAATACAATTTCCTGTAGCAAGAGCAGGTCCGAATTTCCATTCACACATCATTAAAGGATAATTCCAAGGAGAAATCAATCCAACAACTCCAAAAGGTTCACGGCGACTATAAAACAATGTATCTTCAGAAGACTAATAGGTCTTTCCAGTTAACTTGTCAGCCCAGCCTGCATAATATCTGATGCTAGTTACCACTTCTTATATATCGAAAAGAGCTTAATCGAGTGGTTTGCCATTGTCTAAAGATTCTAATGCAACAAATTCATCTAAGTGCTTTTCAAGTAAATCTGCTAGTACCATCATTAATCTAGATCGTTCAGCTGCAGCAACTTTTTTCCATTTTTTAAAGGCTTAGGCAGCAGCATCTATAGCTAATTCTATGTCTTATTCTGTTCCTTCACTTATTTCACATATCTTTTCTTCTGTAGCAGGATTGTAAACTGGGATATAAGTCTTTTTTACTCCGTCAACAAATTAATTATTTATGAATAGCTTTGTTTAGAAATAAGTTGGTTTTTTAAAACGATTATTATTATTCATGTTTTTTTATCTTTATTTTAGAAACAAGAAAGGTATATATATATATATATATATTATTAAATATTTTTTATAAAAATAATAAAAATTTGTAATATTTCTAAAAGTTATAATTATTTTTTTTATATAAAAATAATAGAAATAAATTATGTATGTTTTAATAATATTCTTAATGAAAATATTAAACTAAATAATTTAATTATTGAGGTAAGATATTTTTAATTTATATGCGCTTATTTTTTGAAAAAAATTATTCACATAAAAATAAAATAAAATTATTAATTAATTTAAATAATTCGCTATTTACATGAATTATAACAACATTTAGCAGTAATAAATACAATATTTTAATATTATTTTTAAATATATAGTATAGCATAATTTCATGATCAAAACAAAATTTTTATAGCATTAAGTTTAAAAATCAAAACATTTTTAAATTACATTTCTTTTATATTAAAAGAAGTAGAAAATATTTAAAAAAAAAATGGAGAATAAATAGAAGTAATAAGAAAAATTTAATTTTTATTTATAAATTACAAATTTTAATTTTTATATAAAAATATTAATTAGTAATACCAATCTATTTTAAAATGATTATTTATATTAAAAGTAATATTAAAACATAAAATATTTCAATTAATCATATTTTATATAATAACTCTTCAAATAAAAATAAGATTAATGCTTATTAAAAAGCAAATATCTTTATATAATAAAAAATAATAAAGTAACAATAAAATTTTAAATAAAAAAAAGTAAACTTATTAGTAAATATATAAATATATTTAATATTTATATATAAAATTTATTTTATTTTAAAATCTTAATTTTATTTATTATTTAATATTAATAAAATAAAAAATAATTTAAAATTTATATTTTAAAAATTTTTAAAATATTATAAAAATAATAGAAATTAAAATATATAATATATTTTAAAATAAGAAATAATATATTTTTTTTCTTATATTAAAAAATAATTATTCAATAGAAATATTTTTTGTATATCTAAATAAATATTTAATTAAAATATCTGAAAATTAAATTAATCAAAACTTAAATATATTTTTTTCTAAAAATTTTTATTTTTAAAAATAGATTTTATGTTTTAATTAATTATTTTTATAAATAAATTATTTTAAATATTATTATTAAATTACTTTATTTATTTAAAAAACAAATATGAATTAAGAATAAAATACATTAAATCAACTAGAGCACTATATCTAGGGTATAAAATAATAAAGGGATTTATTATAAAATGAAATATATACGTCAGAAAATGTTTTAAATGAAATGGAAATAGAATTAATGAATATGCAAAGAGAATAAGAATATTTAAATTAAATAATAAATGAAAAATAATAAGCTTGTGACAAATATGATTAAATGATTGCACATTCATAGAATGCATATGATAAAGTAATTATTATGTATAATTAATATTATAAAAAAAATAGTTAAAATAAAATTCAGAAAAACTCCTTTTAACATTAAATAATGAATATAAAAAAATTTAATAATGAATAAAACAAAATTTTTTAGAACATTAATCATTTATATATTTATATGAATTAGAATTATGCAAAATTTATATTTTAAAAATATAAAATATGAATTTGATTGAAAATAAAATGAAAAAAAAATTATGTATGTATATTTTTTTAACAATAACAAATAGTTTTTAAGAAAATAAAGTGAACTAATTAATTAATAATGATATCAATATTTATAAAAATATAATAATAAAAAATTAATTCATTTACTTTTTTTATATTTATAATATATTTATTTTAAAAATTTATGATAATTTTAAATAAAAAAAAAGTTATATTTTTAACTAAATATTTTGCAAAATTAAAAAATAAATATAAGAATATCAAAAGAGATATTAAATAATATATTATATAATACATATAATTATTTATTTATAAATATCATTTATATAAATAATATTAAAATATTTTTATTAAATTAAATATAAAAAATTATAAATATATTATTTTTATATATTTTTATTATTTAATAATTTATTAAAATGAATTATATATTATTTTTTATATTAAATATATTTTAATATTTTTATATAAATTATTTATTATATTTAATGAAACATTTTTATTAATTATAAATTAAATATATAAATCTAATAAAAAAATATATTATTAAAAAGTAAATAATAAATTCTCAAATATATTTTAATTACATTTAATGAATATATATGTATTTATTCATAATATAATATTGTATATAAATAAATATAGTAAATTTTAGATATTTTTAAATTCTTTGAAAAAATAAAGTATAAAAGAATATTTACTTTTAAAAATTAAAAGTGTTTTGTTGATGTAAGAATTGGGTGGGTTGGTTTTTATTTTTTTTGTTAAAAGGGTTGGGTTGGGGTTGGGGTTGGGGTTGGGGTTGGGGTTGGGGTTGGGGTTGGGGTTGGGGTTGGGGTTGGGGTTGGGGGTTGGGGTTGGGGTTGGGGT